TTCTTTCTTATGTTTTGTTAAAAAGTATTCCATAATTTCTCAATAGGATTAAGTTCAGGGGAATAGGGTGGTAAGTAAATCTATTAAACAGCATTCAGTAATTTTGCAACCTTTTTTGATTTGTGAATGCGACTAATATCAAGTATAAGAACAAAATTTCTCTCCTTATAATGCTTCTTTAATAGTCTTATTAATTCAATTAAGTGATGGCAATAACCTAGCTATTAACATACCCTAACAAAGTTTGATGGCCCAAAAAGTTATTTGCTCCGATTGCTCTTAATATTAAAATAATATAGTATTTTATTGAAATAAGCAATCATATTTAAGATTAAGTATTTGTGTAATAAATATATTTGAATAGAATATGAAATGTGTTCATAAATTTATTGAAATTCTATTTTAAACATGATTTTAGACTTTAGAAAAAAACTATTCGAAAATAATTTATAATCTTGAAAAGAAATAGAATATTTATGTTTTTAATTGTATATTCACTTTTTCAATTTCTTTTCACAAAATTCTAAATTTAGAAAAGATGAATACCCTTTTAATTTTTTGTCCGTTAATCATTTGGATTAATCTTTAATTTTCTTTCGTAATATATCAGAGCTTCTTCATATTTCTCTTAATCTTGTAAGCAATTACCTTAATATAACTGAAATTATACCAAAGCAACCAAGACTAAAGGTATGGTTAGGATTGATGGACAGTGCTTGATCAAGAAATTTTAAAGATTCATCATATTATTTTAGAGATCTTAAACACTAACCTAATATTATAATGATGATTAAATCTACCTTTTTCACTTAAGGATATAATATGTATTGGGTCAATAGCTAATGCTTTGTTAAAATAAGTGATTGCATCTGCATATTAATTTAACTTCCTTAAACATTAACCTATTAATTTAATCATGATTAAATCTACCTTTATTACATAAGGAATTCACATGTTTGGGGTTAATTACTAATGCTTTGTCCAACCAAGTGATTGCATCTGTATATTTATTTAATCTCCTTAAACAATCCCCTATTAATATAAAGATGATTTAATTTACCTTTATCACTTAAGGATAAAACATGATTTGGGTCAATAGCTAATGCTTTGTCCGACCAAGTGATTGCATCTTCAAATTTATTTAACTTCCTTAAACATTAACCTATTAATTTAATCATAATTAAATCTACCTTTTTCACTTAAGGAATTTACATGTTTGGGGTCAATAGCTAATGCTTTGTCCAACCAAGTGATTGCATCTTCAAATTTATTTAACCACATTAAACACTAACCTATTGATATAATGATGATTAAAACTACCTTTTTCACTTAAGGAATTCGCATGTTTGGGGTCAATAGCTAATGCTTTGTTCAACCAAGTGATTGCATCTGCATATTAATTTAACTTCCTTAGACACTCCCCTATCAATATTTGATTATCTTCACCTTTTTAACATAAAGATTCCTTGTTATTAGGATTTATTTAAATTGATTTATCTAATAGTTCTATGGCTTCTTTATGCTTTTTTTCTAAATATAATTGAAAACCTAAAATATTAGTAATTATTAAATATCTTAATTATATAATTCTATTGATAATTTTATATCATTATGATCAATTTAATAATAATTATATGATGATATAGCATTTATGTAGATTAATTAATATTTAATTGTAATTAAAGTATAATTATAATTATTCATATAAATTATTAAATGAATGAGTTAATTTCTTAGTTTATTCTTCAATAATTTTGGAAATAGATTATTTATATTCATTTAATTAAATAGTTGAATTCAAATAATCATTAATTTAACAAGAATCCAAATTAACTAATCTTTCTTTTAATAATGAATATTTATTTGTGATTCCTCTTTTTAATTAAGAAAATGATTAATTTACATTTTCTATATATTTATTAAGATCATCAATTAAATTATCACAATCTTTATTATTATTTTCAAGGAATTACATCAAAGTGTTTATTTTTTTGACATCATTAATATGATTATTATGGATTCCCTTTTTAAAACATTCAAAACATTATAATCGAAATCCTGTACAAAATTAATCATAACAAACAAAATCAATCTCTTCCTTATGCTCATCTACTTAACATTTTAACTTTAAATTTGCTTATTAAATCATTTTTTTTAATATTTTATATTGAATTATTACATTAATACACAAGTATTTAAATTATCGGTATTTCTATTAAAATAAATTTTATTAAATTATCTAAATATTTATATAAAACAATTCAACTCCTCTATTATTTAATATATGTTATATAAAATTAAAAGCAAATATAAATTATATAGATCATTATTGATTTTATTGAATTAAAATCTATATTCAAAATTATTTGTTATTATTATAACAATCATTAATATATACTTTTTATTTTTAAATTAAATCCATAAAATTCTTTTAGTTTTTAATTACATGTAAATAAGGAAAAATGGTCAAAAGTTAACTTGATAGACAAGATTTCTAATCCGATACCAAAGTAGTTTATGCATATTGCATTATCCCAGATATTATAAATCTAACTTAACTGAAAGACTTTATCATGATATTAAAGCATACTATTGATAATTTTATAGTTTGTGTATCACTGAAAATAAACGAATATTTCTTTTAAGTTTCTTAATAAATATGAATAATT